CACACCAGGAGGACACCATGCAGCCGAAGACTAGAGTGTGCGTTCTACCAGTGTGAATGGTATATTCAGATTATGGGTGCTGGAGATACTGAAAATGAGTTTTGCAGAGTTTCTGAAAATGCCCTTAAGATTCAGGCCCTTCCCTGTTGTAGACTGTCCCATGCAAATTAGCCTTGAAGTAAGACCCACTGGGTTCGGTGGGCTTTGTTGCCAGATACAGATACAAACTGACAGCCTTCCCCAACCTGTGCTCTCCAGACATGTTGGAGTATAACCTCCATCGTCCCCAGCCAAACGAATCACAGCTTTTACAGGCCGAGTCTTACCAGCACGGCCCATGCTGTTGTTGCAAACGGTGACTATATTTATCCAGCTCGTGGGGCAGCAGGTGCCTTAGAGTCTCACGTCTTCATCACAGGCTTTAGCAAGCTGAGTTTAGATACTGGTTCTTGCCAGATATTTCTTGTTGCTAGGAATCGGTTCCAAATACATACATGCTAGGGCTGGCAGAGCCCACGCACAGAGCTGGAGTCTGGGGCCCTGAAACCTTAGCATGAAGGAAACACGCTTGGAAGTCTAAGAATATACTGGCTTGAGAGCAACCTTCTCTTCCTTGGGGGCCCTTGCCTCTCCCCTGCCAACGCTTCTTCCACCTTCCAAAAACGTTCTGGGGAAAATACGCTCTCCCTAACGAGAATACGGTCCAGCCACGCAAAGAGATTCCAGGGCTTGCGCTGGCCCCAGAGAAGTCACCTTTGCAAGCCAAGGCCACCTACGGCATCTGGAGGAACAGGAAGATGAGTCTCCGTTATTGTGCGGGGGGAGGCCTTGGAATAAGGTCACAGCAAGGGTTAGGGTTAGGGTTAGGGTTCAACTCCATGTTCAACTCCATGCAGAGGCCGGAGAGAGCCACGCTTGCCCCGAGGCCCCTTGGAGAGGGCTCTCCAACTGAGCGGCCGCAGCATGAAGGGGTGGGCAGCAACCAGAGATGGAGACGGAGCCTGGCCAGGGCGGGGGCACAGGGGAGAGGCCTTGCCCTGTTGATCAAGCTCTTGGTGGTTAGGCCTGCCTCCAGGGAGTCATGAGGAAGCTCCGGGCAGGAGAGGGAATCTGGGTCCTGCGTCCAGCTTGGGATGCAGCCGAGAGTCTCTCTCAGTGCAAGGAGCACCTCGGGGTACAGCAAGGAGGGATGAGGCGAGATAGGGAAGGCCTCCTCCTCAGCGTTCATTCATTTATATCCCCCTCCCCGCCTTTCTATTCACAGAGTGCTCAAGGCAGCTTTTCCTTCCCAGGGAGACTGCCCCTCCCTGCCCCATCTCATCCTCTGTCCCTTGCAAGGGTGGCTACGACCTCTCAAGCGTCCCACTCTTTCACGGGGTTCATGCGCACCTTTCAAACAGGTGTCTGCACCTCACCACGCCCGTGGGCACCTCCCAGCAGAACCGCTTGGAGCAGCTTGTGAGACGCAAGCGGGGGGGGGGCCCCTCCGGGAAGGCCAGGCCAAGCGCTAGGAAAGCTCCAAAGAACCTTAAAGAGGCCCAGGACAATGGCAAGGGGTCTGCAAAAGGCAACCTCTCCTGGGAAGACGAAGATGGGGGCCTGATGGGGCCATCAACGCTCCACCCCCGCCTTTTATGTGTGAGCTTTGACGGCCCCACGGCGATTGCCATCTCATCTTGTGGGGCCCCCAGGGGAAGGGGTAACAAAGATCACGTGTCACACCTCAACATCCGGGCCTGCCCTGAGCCCCAACCCCCCGCTTTGCTGCTGAATGGCTCCCTGGTAGAACTCAGGGTCTTCTGCTGCCTTCCTGCACGTGGGAAAGGAAGCCCCTCAGATTGCTGCTTCGTGAGGAAGAGAACAATTAGGGGCATCACAGTTGCTCCGTGCCACGTTCGGTCGCAGGGCGTTTGGGGAGACCCTTGGGGGAGGGAAGCCAGAGCAAAGCAGTCTTGCCCCACCCCTGGAATGCCCCTGCGAGAAGACCCAGGAAGAGGGAAGGGCTTGTGCTGCAGGACAAGAAATGCCCCCCCCCGCCCCCGGCTGCTGCGGGCTTGGTGTGTCCCGGGCAAGAGAAGAGAGAGTCTCCAGGGCAGAGGCTTGGATCAAGCCCAGAACACCCCCTGCTCCCCTTGCTCCCTCCCCGGCCAGAGCGGATGTCCTCTCCATGCCAATCCCCCCCCCCGGAGGACAGGCCGGATTGCGCTGAGAACAAAGCAGCAAGTGGGTGCCCCACCCTGAAATTACAAGAACAAGGACTGCCCTGAGTCATCTCTCTCTGCACCCGCCCTGGAAGGTCTGGGAGAATCCTGGAGGCTTTGGGCATCTGGGGGGCGGGGGGCGGGAGGAAGCCCACCCACCGAGCCCAAGCCGTGGAAGGCCTGCACACCCACACGCGCAGAGTCACGGAAACACCACATGCGCTCAGACACAAGGTCAGGCCGGATGGGAGGTAGCATCTGGGCAGGACTACGGGCCGAGGACGGGCCGCCGTAGCAATCAGGCAGGCAACGTGGAAGGTGAGGACGCCGTGCCCCAGCGAGGCTGCTGAACGGGGACACCCCCAAGGGACCCTGGTATCTTCCCCTTTCCTTTTCCTTTCCCGAGGCTTCTGCTAGGAAACGAGCAGCCCGCCGATTCTGCTGATTCACCTTCTGGGCGGGTGAGTTCTTCCTATTAGCAGTATGGTTTTGTTCATTTGTTTTCCTTGTCACAGATTGCAAGCCGAATAATGGATTTTTTTTCCAAGAGAGCCGAAAGAAAGATTGCAGCGAGTGCTGTGTGTACAGTACGACTCTTGCCTTGGACACGTCCAGAATCGTCAGGAAAACCTGCAGAACTTGTTTGCTGGGGAGTAACCGGAGGGGAAAAGGAATATGCCCGGGGTGAGACTTCTCTCAGCCACGCTCGTTACCTTCTGAAACTGCTTTTCGCAGCCTGCTGCCTTCCAGATGCATGATGCCAGCTTCCCCCAACCCCCAAGCTCAGGTGCTGCCGGACGGGAACTATGGGGATTGAAGTCCCAACACCTCTGGAGAGCACTAGGTTGCAGAACCCTGCTTCTATATGCGGATGGGGATTTCTCACACAATACTCAAAACTCAGTTTAGCTTTATCACTTTGGACACTGTTCACAAGAGCAGCCTATTTCCTCTTGCTGCTGCCTTCCCCAGCTTGGGCATCTTTCAGGGGCGTGAACTGCGACTCCCACAATATTCATCCATTTCTATGGTGGCTGAGAATTTGGGGAGTTGAAGTCCACACGTCAGATGGACAGCCATGTTGAGGAAGACGCTTGTACAGGGGTGTCTGCAGGGTATGGTCCAAAAAGTCAAGATGGCGGCCGCAACAGTGTGATTGAGGCTCCAGATATACAACACCCACAAAAAACAGGTGGAGTTGCAATCACACTGTTGCGGCCACTCTTTTGACCGTATCCTGAGGACACCCCTGCTCTCGTATCAGATATTTAGGATTAAAAAAACCCTCAGATTAAACTCTAAAACAGACTTCAAACAGCAGTCTCCTCATCTGGAAAAAAACACACCCCAGAGGACACAGTGCAGGAGGAGAGCCGTGTTAATCCACAGTAGCCAAACTTCAGGAAGTATCTTATGAAAGCTTTGGCCTTTTAATAAAATTTGTTAGTCCGAAAGGTGCTTGCAGGTCCTTCTGATTTTTAATAGAGAACACATCACTAACCTTTCGAACAGCAGCATCTTAGCACAGAGGCTGGGCTATTGTGTGTGTGTGTGTGTGTGTGTGTGTGTGCCCAAATCATTCGGTGGACTCGGGGAGGCCAATGGCTTTGTCTGCACATCTGGCAAAGTTGCAATGTGGTTTGCTTTATTTTGACTTAGTGGCTGCGTTCACACAGGACATTTAACCAGGAGAGTTGCAAACCTGGTGGCTGCATTCGCACAACTTTGTTTAATTTTGGTTACTTTTTTGTGGCTTGGGGTATTGGGCAACCCAGAAAATGGATTAACCAGGTTCGGTGTATTGTGAGAATGTGGCCAATTGGTGTGTGAACTTTTCCACTGTGGCTTGTAAAATTATGTTTCTGGCTTAGTGTTATCTTTGACTTACTGTAGGCCATAATGACATCAACAAACCTTGGTTAAATACCGCCTTGGCAAAATGCCTTTCTTAGTCCTGCTCTTTCTCCATATCAGCCTCCTATTGTAGTATAAGAATAATTATTCTGGTCTTCCCCACAAGAGGGTTATTTATCTCTTTACTTACCTATTTAAATTATTTATATGGCTGCCTATCTCACAGCAGTGACTCTGGCTGGGGCACAAGGTTCAAACAATAATTTAACAACCTAAACCGGTGTTTCTCAACCTTAGCAACTTTAAGATACGTGGACTCCACTCCCAGAATTCCCCAGCTGGGAATAAAAGCCAACGTTAACCATCAAAGCTCGCCTGACCTCTGCGATCCTCTGTTGTGAGAATTACAAGGTAATGCTCCTGAGCAGTGAGATGTCGCTTATAAATTGCAAGGCACAGGGTGCGGCAGAGGATGGCACTTACTGAAAGATGGAGCATTGGGGGGTGGGCTCCATTTCCCCCGAGAAAGCCCCATCGCTTCAGAGAAGTCTGCACCACAGCAAATATGCAAAGAGGCCACCCTCTGGAGAGGCCCACGTGCCTGGCCTGGCCCAGCCTTCTGGCACCTGGCAGAGGCCTTCCCTGGCACCTCCTGGCCGGAATGCCAGGGGTGGGACCTTGTGCAAACAACGTCCGGCAGACAACCTGCCAGGGCCTCGTTCGTGTTGCTTCTCTAACCCCCTTCCAAGCGGGCCAGCCAACTTGGCACATCAAGGGGTCCCCGGCCACTACAGCAGGACGAGGTGGAGCCTGGAGCCGTGGCCAAGGGGCATCAAAAGGTTTGCCAATGGTCAGTGCCCCAGAGGATGCTCTGTCCACCTGACTTCTTGCAGTTAAAAGTAAACGGATATCCTGCCTCCTTGCAAGAACACACATTGCCCCCAGTCGGTCCACTTTGGGCTTCCTTTGAAAACAAAGCTGGTGGGGAGCATGGTTAGAAACAGGCCACCTATCCAGAAAAAAAGGGGAGAGGGGGCTGTGGAAGGTAGGATCTCATTCCCTGGGGGGAAGGGGCAGCATCCCCTGTCTCTCTGGGCAGCTACAAGACTCTGCCTGGAGCTTTCTCCAAGCCAACGTTGCCCATGGTAGAATCTCGGACTCCCTGTGCTGCCATCCTCTGGTACCCCCTCAACATCCCACCTGTTCCCTGGCGATGCCGCTCACCTTCCTGAGCACTGATTGCCAGCCCTGCCAAGAGCTCCCGCCTCCCAGCGCCACGTGATTGGCCCCGCAGCCAATCCCAGGCTCACCTGTTGGAAAAATGTCCTGCCAGCAGCAGCAGCAGCTTGGAGGGGTTCCAAGGCAGGTAATAATGCCTGGGGCAAGGGGAAGGGCGGAAAATCCTAGGCTGCACCCAGGCGGAGAAAAGCAGGCTGCTGGGACTGTTGACAGGGCAACGTTCTGCACACACATACACAGGCAGACACAATGCATGGTGTTGCTGCTCCCAGGAAGGGAGGAAAGGCAGAGATCCATATCTAGTGTTCTGGGTCTCTCTCTGGCCTCCATGCACGATACCACGAGGATACAGGCGCCCTTCGGTGGACTGAACCTTGGAGGATGCTCCTCATTTTAGCCCCTCTTCGCCTCTCCAAGGAGCTCGGGAAGCGTCTCTAAAGCAGCCTCCCACCCAGCTGGAATGGAGCTCCCAGAATTCCTTAGGCAGCATGGGGGTGTGGGGGAGCGACTGTCCTGGCACATCTGGAGGGCCCAGGCGGGAAGAGGTGTGAGACTGATAGCACATGGCTGGCTCTCTTCCTTCCCCCAGACCACACCTTTCCAAATCATCCAAGCTTGGCAGAGATTCTGCAGCTGCAGAATGAAAAAGTTCCAGAAGCTGCTCTCGCTTGCACGTTTTTAAGGATGAGCAGGAAATATACTTCATGGGCTCAATTTCCGCAGAATGTGGCGCCTAGAGGAACTGTAGTGGCCGAGGAGAAGGTACCATTTTAGCAGGGGAAGGGACCTTTGGGGGTAAACTGGGGAACAGGGCATCAGTGAGGAGCGGTCAAAAAAGTCAAGATGGCAGCCGCAACTGCACAATCAAAGCAGCCATGTCATTTAAACATGTACCACGCATATAAAACAGAGGCAGATCTTGGATTATGTAGTCCCAGCTGCCATGCTGGCTTTTTGGCCACCCTCCCAAAGATGCCGCTGCACAAGAAGTCTGGGTTCAGTTCGCAGATACGTCCCGTCCGGAGAGGAAGAATGTGGGGACCAGCTCTGCAGTGGTCCAGATCCCCATCCTCAGCTTCCATTCAGGACATTCTGGGTTCAGTGAAGAAAGAGCCTCGTCTAAACCAGCCTCCCTCCCAAAGCCTCTGCAGCGCTGGCAGCTTCTGGCCCGTCGTGGAGACCCCAGAGCCAAGAGTCTGTGTGAGACCTGCACCCCACAAATCCTCTCCCCAAAATTGCACTGCCAAAATTCAAAATTCAAGCTGCCAAACCAGCCATTTTTGTCAGGGAACAAAGGAAAGTGGATGCATCACACCTCCAAAGGCACGCAGCGTTTTAACCTTAGGGTCCATGAGATAAAACCAAAAGAGGCCGAAAAGCAGGGCAAGAAGTCCTACTCCTGCCCACTCCTAGTGGAAAAGTCACCTAAAAGTGCCATGCGCGTCATCCCCTTGCTGAGCCAATGCCCCAGGAGGGCAAGGAGGGCCGGAGAGGGCAAGAAGGGAAGGCGGGAGAGACCCCAGAGGAACGGGGAAAGAGAGGGGCAGGAAAGGTGGCTTGGGGTCCCGGGGGAATCCACAGGCATGGGGCAAAGAAGGCTACAATCCTTCCTTCTATATTTACTCTGCCTCTGCGATTTAATTTCTGTGGTCCAAAGACCTGGAGGTAAATTGAAGGAGAGCGTGCTCCAAAGCTGTCACCTTGGCTGGAGTTTATTGATTGTCCTGTGACCAAAGCAGAGCCCTGAGAGGGATGATCTCCAGAGAGATCAAGTGGGCTCGTGGCGCCCTCCAGTGGCCAAAGGTGGCCCTGCTCTTCCAAAAAAAGCATCTTTGGGGGGCTGGACCCGTCCTCCCAAGGCAACCTATTGCTCTCCTGCAGTGGCATCCAGAGGGGAGGAAGGGCCCAGGCCTGGAGGGGCTGTCCTGTGGGAAGAGGCAACGAGGGAAGCTTTGCCAGGAAGCGAAGGAATGGGCAGAGTTGGCCATTCTTCCCTCCTTTGGAAATTATTACCCAATAGATGATTCACATCTCTGCTGGAATGAAATTCAAGTCCTTGCGTAAGTGCGTCTTTGGACTAGGCCCCACGTTTCACTCCTTTCATTAAGGAGAAGCAAGGAACGCTGATGGCTTCCACCTGGATGACCCCAGGCGATTTGGATTAAACTCCCAGGGCTGGGCTGGACGGGAGAATGAACGTGGAGCCCAGAACATCAGGGAGGGCCAAGTACCTGCCACAGAGTGTGGAAGGAGTGGGAATGTGCTCCAGTCTCAGGAGCCCTAACAGAGCTGCAAGTGTCCTCCTGCGCTTCAGAGGCAACTGTGACTTTCGGGCCTCAACGAGGATGAGTGGTGAGAAGATTCCATGAATGTCCAGAATTAGTCCATGCAGGTGACTGGCATCTCCCACAAGACTCATCTCTCCACCTCAGATGAATGTGATGAAGCCCATTCCCCAGAGAGTGTGTGACTGAGGCACAGAAACAGAAGGTCCCCTACATACGAACTTTCAAGTTGCAAACTTCGGCTGATACAAACAAGATGGACCTGGAAGTTAGAACCGGAAGTTGGGCCACAAGTTGGGAGAAAAAGCACTGAAAACAAACCCTTTCCCACTGTCTCCTGACTTCTGGTCCTGACTTCTCACATGGTCAGTTGTGTTTGGTGTGTTTGCTGCAAATTGCTTAACTGCAAATGTCTGCAATTAAGCGCAAGAGTCCTGAAGGGGAGGGGGTAGCGCGAAGAAGTGGCAATCCATTATGATGCTCACAAAGATGGAGATATTGAAAAAAAATGGGAGGGGAGAAGATGGTGAACGTGGCACGTTCCTACGGCATGAATCGTTCCACTATAGGAACGATCCTTAAGAACAAAGACAAGATCATGGAACATGTGAAAAGTTCAGTGCCTATGCAATCCACAATAGCCACAATTCTGGGAATTGAAGCCCACCTATCTTAAAGTTGCTAAGGTTGAGAAACACTGGTGTAGATGGTCCAAAACTCTGTGCCCACCTGAGCACTCTCAGCTCAGGGGCTTTCTTGTATGGCATGGGCTACAACAAATGAAAATGTCATGTTTCCCAACAATAGTGAAAATAGAAGTTTCCATCCAAGACATTACTGGTGAGATGGCCAAATGGAGAGGCCATGGATTCTGTACTAAAAAACATGCTGATTTTTTGGCAAACTCTTCCAATCTGATGTTCCAGCTTCAAGGATAGGAAAAATCTGGCCAGAAATTTTCTGCAATCTGGCTCCAAGGCATGATTTAGAAGATAGCTCAACTCCAGAGAACTTTTCAGAGATGAGGAGAGCTTGAGATGCGGCCACCAGAGGTGAAGAGATGATTCCATCAGAGT